TTTTTTTTAACAGGTCCTTATGACCCTGGCTCCATTTCCATTCTGGGGAGCATCAGTCTGGTTCCTATTCCACCGGCAAGTCAGAATAAAATATTACATCATGAACACACATACGCTTCCTTCCATCTGGCTGAAGGACCCCTGACCAGCATTGATTACTCCAGCATCGTGGAGGATCGACTGTCAGCTTGCCCTGCTTCTCCCTTTCCTCTCAGGACCACAATAATGGCCTGTCAGATAGAACATAAATGGCAAGAAAGGGCCTGGATGCTACAAAGGCTGTCAATTCTGTCTAAACTCTGATCCCCGCCCATATGCTTCGTGAGATCCCTACCAATCTGATCCCTGTTTGCCTTGAATGTCTAAACCCTAAACCCTAACCCTCAGCTATAACTTTGAAGAGACTCCTAATTCATAAACCCTAAACCCTAGCTAATCTTGTGTGTCTTTTCCTAACTATGAAGGCTCTACTTCAGGAACACAGCTGTTGCTCTCCTACTCATGCTTTTAAATAGCCGCACTTAAGCCCCAAACCCTATCTCACTCCTTTGAACCATTGAACCCTAAATCCCTATTTTTTAATCTATATCCTTCTGCTCCCTGTTTATCTTGTTTCTGTACCTACCCTGCCCCTAAACCCTTGCCGCCCTAATCTATTTTTCCATCTATTCCCTGTGAAGATTCTGCTGTCGCCTGCCATAAGTGTCTCCGGGACGTTCATCTAGGCCCAGATTGGAAACGGATCTTCGTGTACCTGAGTGTTCATCTGGCCTACAGACTTGACAGGGTTGTGCCACTCTTTCCATCTTAAAGCGTGCCCATTTAGCCAAGCCACTTTGTCATCAAACAACCAGACCCGTCTGAATTTGGCAAGTGTCACCTGTTCTGTCTCTGGACTGTTTTGCACCCGGAGTTTCACCTTCCTCCATTGACATAGGATTTCCGCTTCAATCATCTCTTTGGTTGCCGCCCACGATTTCTCCCGTGGGTTTTTCGTGCCGTCTAGTGTTCTGCTACACCTCTCCTTCCAAATGGCCCAAAGCGTGATCTTGCACACCATCCCGAACCAGATTTTCTCTGATTTGCCGAAGTTAGAGGGTAAGTTAGTCCATAGGAGTAGTTGGAGGGGGTGCTCTGGGAGGGGAGAAGGGGATATCGACTATCCCAAAGAGCTGCTGCTCTTGCCCAATACTTTGTGGTTTCTTTGCAGTTAATTAGGCAATGTAACACATCTTTGTGTTGTTGATCAGAGCAGACTATACAGACATCAGAGCTGGTTGGGTCGTTCTTTCTTCTTCTGACATGTAGCCACTGGTTAACCGGTAGAGCCACATAGGTTATGAGCCATTGCATGCTTCTGATTTTTATAGGTCTTATCGTTTTGTACTTCTTCCATGGGATTTTTGCTATCTGGTCTGCCTCAGATACAATTGACTTGCTCCATTTTCCTTTGATTATTGGGTCTGGGTCCTTTGTTTTTAACAACATCTTATAACCCAGTTTAACTGTATACTCATATATTGGAATTGGTGGTTTGGCCGTTCTCTTTCTTTCTGGGCGCCATGCCCATTCTGACGGGTCAAACTCAAGGTCTTGAATTGCCGTGTTTATTTGGAAGATCTTTATAGGCCAGAGGCCTAGCATCCTTATTTTCCACAACGTGAACGCATTCAGCACTGCTTTTTCAGGATTGATGTTCTGAATGTATTGTACATCTGGCTTAATCTTCAAAATTGGGAAGGAGGTGAATACATCCCTTGGACCGGGTGTGGACGGCGGGTGGGAGAATTGGTAGGCTCTAACTGGGGAGGATTCTTGGACCAAGACTCCCCACTCGCCTGATTTCCATGTGAACTCTTCTTTTAGAATATCTATCCAGCTACACGGGATGCTCTGTATTATCTTTTGGAGGTTTTCGTCCTTGTGATGGCAGCCTTTCAAGCGGGTCTTGAGGTCCGCCTCGTCCAGCCAGCTTTTCTTATCCTCGTTCCATATGTCCCCTACTCGCCAAACACCCTGTTTGATCCAGGATAGCCATCCGTTGCCTCTGCTGGACAAAGTCCATGGGTGGTCTCCCTCATCTCTAGTCCACGGATTACCGAAGAGAGGCTGCCTGAGCACTTCTTCTTTAGACCTCGGTGGCATGATCTCTCTCCAGATCCGTAGCAGAGCAGCCCAGTATGGGTGGGAGGACTGTGTGGGGGTTAGTCTCCCCTGGCTTCTTTGACCCTTAGGAATCCAGTCTTTGTTCATTACCCATAACAGTCCGGACATATTTGGAGGGGACTCAATCAGGGCAAGCTTGTTCCAGGGCAAAGACTGTTTAGACAGCAACTTGACTACCCACTTGATTTGGAGGGTCTAGGATCTATGATACCCAGTCCTCCCTGGTACGGTTTCCTTGCGATAAAGTGTCAGGCGATCTTAGGGATGTAATTCTCTCTGTTCGGGTCCCCTACCCACAGGTGGGCTCTGGCTTTCCTATTCAGGTCTTTGGTTGTCTGATCTGGTATAGTTCAGATCGAGGCAATGTACCACATTGAGAATATGGAAGTGTTGATGGTAAGTGCTCTGCCTATTATTGATGTGAACGCTTGACTCCATTTCCCAATTTTATTAATTTGGCTGGTTAGAAGGTTTTGTGCCATCTGGGGTGCTGGGCCTTCTTTCGTTACTTGGATTCCTAGATATCTCGTTGACAGCTCTGGCCTTTCCCATGACATCTGGCTCTCCGGACTTTGGAGATGTGGCACCGGTTCATCTGAAAGCCACCAACCTATCGTCTTGCCCCAATTTATCTTCATTTCTAAGGCTAGTCTGAAGGCTTCCATTGCCCTGACCAGGGCAGCCATTGATGAGTTGGAGGCTCTGATTAAGACCGTCAAATCATCCGCGAACATGATTACTGTAGGAAAATGTATGTTGTGCGCAGACCCCACGTTCATTTCTGGCAGCCTTTGGATAGAAGGGTCCTTATGGAGAAAGGAGGCTATGGCTTCCATTACAAAAAGGAAGATGGGCGGAGCTAATGGGTCGCCTTGTCTTACTGATCTAGAGATTGGTAGCCTTTGGAGAGCAGTCCGTTAATCTGAACACAGCTGGAGGCATTATTATACAACACACACACCCATTTCTTGAAGTTGGGACCTACTCCCGTCCTTTCCATGCTCGCATCTAGGAAGTCCTAGTTTACCTGGTCGTAGGCCTTTTCGAAGTCGAAGAAGAGAATCGCTGTCCTAATTTTATTCTCTACAACTCCTAGAGGCTTCGTTGAGGGTCATTATGTTGTCTAGGATGTATCTTCCTGGTATGAATCCGGACCGGTCTATGTGAAAACACTTGTCTGTTAGGTCCAGTATGCGGTAAGCCAGTGCCTTGGCCAGTATTTGGTAGGGGAGTGTGAGAAGAGAAATTGGTTTGTAGTTCTTAATGTCTTCCCGGTCGCCTTTTTTAGAGAGTAGAGTGACCACACTGGTACTAAGAAATTCGCCCATCCCTTCTTTTTCCCAACTGTCATTATAAAAGTTCAAGAGGTTCGGGCCTATTAGAGGCCAGCATTTTTCCCAGAATTCCTTTGTTAAACAATCTATGCTCGGGGTCTTGTTGTTGTTCATTTTTCCAATGGCGAATTCCAGCTCTTCCAGGGATAGCGGTTTATCCAATTTTTTGGCTTGATCATCCGATATTGTTCTGTCCAGGTATTGTAGCATTTTGGCCCTAGCAGTACGGATATTTGTAGGGGTATATGAAGGGGTTTTAGAATTGTAGAGCTCGCCATAGAAGTCCTTTGCTACCTCGAGCATCCCTTCGCTGTCTGTACGGGTAATATGTTGGCCCCTTAATTCCTTAAGCCCCTCTATTGAGCTGGAGCGGTTATTTGCCTTTATTCTAGCAAAAAAAAATTGGACAGCTGTTCGTTGAGCTCAAGATCCGTCATTCTGGCTCTGATTTGGAGCCCTCAGAGTTCCCATAGGCGCCAAGTCCCAAGTTCTTCTCTTGTTTTTTGTAATACATCTGCGTACATTTGAGAAGACTGATTAGTGAGTAAATTACTCTCCACTACTTTCAAGGCAGTTTCGAGCATCACCTTCCGTCTTTTCCTAGCATTGGCCATTTTCCTCGATACTTTTGCTGTTGTTTTGGCTAGCGTCAGGTAGCTATTTTGGAACCATTGCCACCTGTCCCCCCCTGAGATGAAGCTTCCTTCTAGATTCTTCCAATTCTCCTCCATACACCCTATGAATTCTTGACTCAGTAGGAGGGAGTTGTTTAATTTGTGGAAGCTTCGGCCTTTCTGGATGAGTTGGTCGAAGCTGACAATCAGTTCAATTGGTTTGTTGCCCAGACCCGGGCACGACACCAATTGCAAAATCTCAGTTTCCTTGACTGTTCCCATGAGGTGGTCAAACACCAAGAAGAAGTCTATGGGAGAGAAGGCCGTATGGTGGGAGTGGTTTTTCTTTACTAATGAGAAACCTCTTGTAGTCGGGTGTAGGGTACGGAACGGGTCCGCCAGACTATCGTCCATAATTAATTCCTGGAT